TTCAATCAATGGTGTAGTTTAATTAAGCGGATGACAAAATGCAACCTTATCAAACCAGGTCAAATATAGATCGATAGGTATGAAATAAAAGCAAGTTGTAGTCGTGGCGGCGATTGGTTCCAGTTCTATTATCCACCGCAGGATTCATAATTAACTAATTCATACGCCGAGGCGAAGTAAACAACACATTTTCCGTCGGTTGCTGGTAGTCATGGCGTAATTTAAAAATGTACCGCATTATAGATTTATGGTCGAGTTGTCAATACTAAAGTCTCTGTATTTATCGCAAATAGTCACTTATTGCTTAGGGTTTAGCACTTGACGACTAATTTGGTGGAATTCACTAGTTTCGCTAACGTATGGGGCCTGCTACACGGCGGTTGTCCATTCAGCCTGGTAGTTTTTCCCGTCATTTCTTATCCTACTTTACCGTCCATTTTCGGAGTTCGTGGGAAGATTCGTCGTTGTACGACCTAGTTAGAGCCGCTTGGACGATTACACGTTTTTTCCGCTGGTGCAGTAACTACGTCTGCCGCTGTGTGAACCCGAGAATTCTCTCAGTCACCTCGTAAATGATGAGTTTACTATTTACCATTTGCTACTGCCTTCTCCGATTTGGATAGTACAATGAAACCGACATTCTGTGCTCGTGGCCTCCACTATGCTCTGTCTTCGTAGCTTTGCGCTCGGCCTTAATGTTGTGAACTATTAGGCCTGTGCGATCGAGAGCCTGGCCTGAGTCATGACGTTACCAAATTTGGCACCACTTATCTATCTGCTATAATGAACCTAGATGTGGAAACTGATTAGAATGTGATCACTCTGGCAATCGTTTGAATAATAAGTCAACAGATGTTTATGCTAGTGTTGGAAGCATGTGTTAGTGACGATTAGCTGGCCCTCATAGTGAAAGTTCAGCACTGTCTCGCCACTGTCGCATGAAGAGTCAAGCTTTAGACAGCCAATAGTGACTGTTTAAAGAATCATCTGGTCCATTCCGGCCATTCCAGTCGCAGGGGACAATGATTAAATATTTGTGAAAAGGTTTACTTAGAGCTACATTTAGAAGGCTTCTTTATAGCCCTTATCGGCAGCTAAAGTTAGTACGTGCATGAAGACGATAGAGGTGTTGGTAAAGTGCCTATTCAGTGGTACGTAAACCAGTCGGTCCTTTCTTGATTCCCTCATAGACAATGCCTGGTTTGCTTTTTGTGAGAAGGCAATCGCCAGTCTGTGTCCATCGGGAAGTTTTTTGGGGTGCTGCCTAGAAGGCTGAGGTAGTTCATCCCTGCGATCTCGATTTCCTAGATATGCGATCCGAGGATTCTGACATCATACAGGTAGCAGATATTCACGCTGTACTGAAGACCTTGCACCACCTGTGTTCAGGCACGTTCCTTGTGCGAGAGAACTATTGGCTCAGTCGCCTCTCAGGCTAAAATGGAGTTAACTGTGGCTGATAGGTCAGCTATTCCGCGCACATTTTGTTTTCTTATTTGTAGCATTTGCATAGACTGATGATAATTCGTTGTTTCGTCTGTGACCCACTCCGTCTGTGTTAGTTACATCAGTTCCCACGATGGGTGCCTGGCTTATCGGTGCCTAGTGCCACGGTCTCAGCTATTATGATGCTGGTTGTGGCAAATTGTCTGTGTTCCTGTGTCGGTATTTTTTTAATTCTCATCATCGGACATCAACATATCCTTGTCGCTCCATAGCTATTTCCTCGTGTTCATAGCAGTAATTCCAAAGCTTTTCATGTACACTTCCACGTGACTTGCTTTTACGTTTCTCCTAGCAAACGTATAGGTAAATGGATAGTATCTACTCATTTAGCCGAAGACAGTTCATCGAATTTTATCTTCTATGTTTAAATATAGCTCTTGTTGTTGTTTTTGATATGTTTGTGATATATGGTACGTTTGCTCTCGATGCTAGTTTGTCTGTCCATGCACTGCTTTGGGCCCATTTCAGTTTAAAAACGCTTGTTTCTGTAACCATTATTGTTTCTATGGTCTATGAAATAATCTTAATTTTCCGTCCTTTCAGCAACCTATTTTTGGCAGACACTTTCGGGATTCGGTAGATGGGACTCAAGAGGTGGTGGTGGCTACAACCGACTTATCCGAAACGGAGGTGCTCCGGTGATCGGTAGCCGCGGCCCTTCAGCCTTCAGTGGCTTACAGTCTCTTTTCTCGGGTCGCAATCGTCACCTCGTCGACCACGAGGGCCTAACCTGCATCTTAACCCTTTTGGTTGTCAGTTCTGC